CCTTTTATCATTTTTCTACATAAAGCATTTTCTTTTGATGAAAGTTTCCTTTGATTCTCCTGTATTTTTTCTTCCTTCTGTTGACTCTATAGTTTCCAGTATGTCATACAGAGGTCTGAGGAAAGCATGTTCTTTAGAGCAAGAAACAACAAAATATACGCTTGTACTTATAACTGTTGGGGAGTGCTAGAGCAAGGCAAGAGGATGAAATAATTTCATTTTTCAGTTCTGACGATCAGGACAACTTTTCATCATTTTGTTTTCTCATTCCTTTGCATCTGCTTTTGCTGAACATATGCAAATTTGGAGCTCCCTTTGGTTTCCAAGAAAGTAAAGAATAAAGTTAGAAGCTGAAATTAAATTAACAGCTTTTATTCATCCTAGATTGATGTTGAACTGAGTTACAAGCAGGAGAAGATTGTGGAATAATTAAAAAAAGCATTGAACCAAGGAGTCAGGAGACCCAGCTTCTTGTCCCAATGCTATCATTAACTTGCTGTGGGATCATGGGCAAGCCCCTTGACCCATCTGACCTACCTTTCTCTCATCAGTAAGTAGGAGGGGATTGAACTAGATGGTATCTAAGATCCCTTTCAGCTCTAAATTTCATGACTCTGAATGGATGTGATAACCCTTGTCTATTTTCCCCTTGAAGTTACTTCTTAATTATTTCTGCCTCTCACATGTTTCTGCTCTCACTAAGGCAGCTCTCTTGAATGTTATAGTCTCATATGTACTCAGAAAACTGATTTCTGTCATTCGAACTGTCCCTGGAGAAAAACTATAAACTCTCTGAAGGCAGGGAGCCCTCTTTTATTTGTATCTTTGTATCCCCAAGACCTAGTGAAGGGCCTGCCGCATAATTGCAGCCTAACAGATGCCTGAATAGGATACAGAGGCTGTCTTTTTTTTTTTTTTTGCTCTAATATTACTTGAATTACTTCCTGAATAAAACTAGACTCTGAATTCTATTCTCATCCTGAGTTGTTTGTGTGTCAGCAGTTGAATGATACCATGGTGCTTTGATTGCAGTTGGAAGGGCAATTAGAGCTTTTTTGGAAGTTGAAAATATCAGCTGATCTGAGGACATAGCCCCCTCCCCTCCCGTGTCGAAGAATAGAATTATTTTAAGGTCTAAAAATGTACCATAGCAATTAGCAACATCATTTATATAGCTCATGCATCAGAAAATATTCTTAGATCTTTTATTATTTTTATCCCATTAAGAGGGAAGTGGCCCATCACTTCAGGAAGGGGCTTACTTTACTTCCTGAAGGTAATTTGGCCTTCATTAATCTGACCTTTAAATGAGCATTTACATAAACGAAATCGACCTTTTCCTCAATTATTATTTATTGAGTGACTCATGGGTATGTAGCTTAAAGGGCTTGGGTTTAGGGCTAGAGGAAGGTGGCCTTAACATATATGGAGTGACCGTAATGAAATCCTTTTTTGTGTGAAGATTAAATGTGACACAGATAAATAAATAGAGATAATAAAGCTCTAATTGGTTGATTCAGTGATAAGATTAGAAAAAAAAAATCAAGTGGAGAGTAGGATGTAAACCCATTCTTGGTTGCCCAGAAAGGTTGCCTTTAATGTAAAATCCTTTGATCATAGTACATCTTACTTGTAGAAAAGTACAAATTTGGATGTATAGATCAATCAAACAACTGGACATAGGTGGTTAATGAATACATCGAGCAGTTGCAAAGCAAGCAGTGTTTACCTTATTCTTTTAAATCCCTTTAGCAGTGTCTTCCTGAGGATAAGAAGATAAACACTATAAAGAGAAAAGACACTGAAGAGTTTGCCTTACTGACCACCTTTGGGATTTGCAGTGTAGCAAGAGTCACTTCTCCATTTGGGTTTCATTAATTTAGAGCTGTTATTTGGGCAGTTGCTTCACTTACCGGCATTTTTTGATTCATTACTTGATATTGCTTTTTTGCCAACTGAGTTAGATATTGGACTGGAATGATTTTTAATCAGTACCCTTTGTTGAAAAATATACTCTAGAAAACCTGTTCTTTTGCTTAAACTTACATGCCCATCAAATTATGGCAGACTTGAGCAAAGAAAGTCAGGGTTGAAAGATAATTATAATAATTTTGTGCCTTTGAGAACAAATTGAAAGTTCAAGGTAACTAATAATAATGGTAATGTATATATGTACATATGAGGACCTGACTCATATTTCAGAGTGATTTTATCTATTTCCGTAGCTTTATTTAACTCTAGGTTAAGAGCACACACTCTGCTAAGTGATGTATTTAAAGCCTTTCACAATCTGTCTCGAGCCTATATTTCCAGACTGATTATACATTACTCCCCCACATGTACTCTGCACTCAGCTTAACTGGCATACTTGCTGTTCCATACATGCTTTACCCGTCTCCCACTTTGGTACCTTCGAATAGGTCCTTACCCCCATGGAATTCCTTCCTTCCTTACCTCTGCCTGTGGGAACCCCTGGCTGCTTACATGGATCAGGTCTAGTTGCTACTACCTCCTTCAAGAGGCCTTGTTATAGTCCTCTCCTCCCATCTCCAGTCACCATGCATTTATTTTGCATAAGTCTTATATGTATTAGTCTGTGAAAATGTTCTAGAGGTCCCTGTTCCTACAGAGCAAAGGCTGATTTAGTTCTGGCGTGCTTTATCAATTCTTGTTGATTGACTGATTGATGTATTCAGTCCTCAAACCATTTATTTTGTAATGAATCAAAGGTAGGAAACAAGTGGATGGAAATGTCTATACGAATATTTGGAAGTAAGAATAGCACTTTTTAATAGGTTATCAAGTTATTATTGTTAGACATATCCTTCATATAGTTATCTGGTTTGGGGGAGGGGGTATCATTTAATTCAGGATATAGTAGAGTGAGTATAATCGTAAGCATGTTATAATGGACTTTCACCGTATCATTTTCATTTCATTGGAGAAACTGAAACGCAAAATGATTAAGTGGTTTGAGTCAGTGACTCAGTCACCTAGCTATTTATAGAATTCTTATCTTCGGATCTGTGGTCCAAGACTCACTGGGATTTCCTCTAAGTATTCTGTATGGGCATTCTGGAAGATGATTATTGATTCATTCTTTGAAAAAAAAAATCTACTAAATACTCAACTTGTTTTACCAGTAATCTGCTTGGCATAGATTTCCCCTTAATTACTGAACTTTCCCAACTGTTACCCTCATTTCATAACTAAGCAAAATTACCATTGTGAAACAGGATGAGGTAGTTAAGAATCCTGTAAGAAGTCTTTGTTACACAAACCTGCTTTTGTGTATCAGTGAAACTGCAGACCACAAATCAAGAATTTATTAAGTGACTTGAGTTATTGTGATAAGTTAGCAGTTCTCTTGAGATATTGTCTTTTCTGTGTTAGGATTGGCTTTGTTAATTTTTATTATTTAATTTCAACTTTAAATCTTAACTTTCTTTGTTGGAATAGAGGAGAATAATAGCAGAAAGTCAGCTAGGTATAATAATCAAGTTTTCCCGCAGTTGATATTCTGTTGTCATTCTATGCACATACCTGCAAGCTTCTATTTGAGGGCCTCAGGGAGAGAATTGAACAGGTTTTATTGGGTAGGATTTGTCAAAAAAAATTTTTTTATTATGGTGTCTTTCCTAGATTAACTGGGAAAGAGTACTGAGATTCTGGAATTATGTCTTTTGTTTGCATTGAAGAGACAAGGAGATCTAATTCTTCTCTCCTCCTCTTTTTGGTCATCCCATTAAACCCCACTAATCTCATTTTTTAATTAATGTAAATAATTTTCAGTTTCCAGGAGTGAGCTATAGAGTTCATATATGTTGTTAGTTGGTCATTTCTCTGAGTGTTGCTTTAAAAAGCCTAAACTAACTACACTACCGTAGAACTCTTTCATGTGCATTTTTGCAGCATGGTTCCTACAGAGCAGAATCTGAAATTTCGAGTTTCTTTATATAAGTTAGTTCTGATGCCACAGGGGTGCCACATCACTGGAGGAGAGTCTTTAGCTTGGAGAAGAGAAGATTTTCAGGGTGGTGTACACAATAGTTATCTTTTAGTTATTTGAAGGACTGGATAAGAGGTCTCAGAAGGAAAAAATAGTAGCAATTGGTGAAAATTAAAGAAGGCATTGTTCCTCATTATGAGAAAAAGCTTCTTAACAGTTAGAGATGTTCAAAAGTGGAATGGGCTGCAACAAAATGGTGCGTTCGCCATCACTGGAAGTCTGCAGACAGTGCTTAGTTGATGATTTATTTGGAATGTTTCAATCCTGATCTGTTAGACTCTAACCTATAATCTTGTGATTTCTGATAGCCCTTCTAACTCTAAGATCCTGCCATTCAGTGATGATATTTCCTATGGCATATTTTGCCAATATAAAAATGAAAGGATGCTACAAACTATGCCACAAATAACAAATGAAATAGTAGCTGTAACTATATAAACTGAGATTGAAGGTTGTAAATGATCTTATTGATTCTCCATAGGGTTTCCCAAAAGGAAAAAGAGGAAGAGATGATGGGTTCATAATTTCTTTGCCTACCCCATTGGAATTATGACATTATTCAGTGTAGATAAATGCCAAAAACATTTTTAAAATATGAGGATCTGTTTAAAGTGTTATCCATGTATCATGCCAAGCAAGTCAATTATTTCCCCACAGCTTTGTCTAGACGAAATTTAGAGCAGCTGGTTATCAGGACAAATACGTTACCATTGAACTCTATGTATTATAAATGATAAGATTTTCATGTCAGTGTTTCTAATGTAGATGAATGGTGAACTTGATCAGTGGAATCATTCCCAATGAAAACAGGAATTATCTGCTAAATTAAGCCTAGTAACTTTTTTTTTTGACACTGTGAAGGATTTGTATTGCCGAGTCCTTTGAGGAACCCTGTCCTTTAGATACTGTTATTTTTTATAACTTCATTTCTCTTACTGGTGAGGAATGTTTAGATTTGTGTAATGAATGGCACTGCCTCTTTCCCCTGCAGGCTTGCAAGCTCCTGTTCCAGAGTACATTGTGGATGTAGAGTCTATGGACATCTTCCCAGTTGGCTGGTGTGAAGCAAATGCTTATCCCTTAACTCCACCACATAAAACAGTTTGTAAGTATAGTCAGTACGCCTAGTTATGTGGTACAAGCTTATCCCAATTTTGAAGTAATTATCATACTGTGAATTACCATCAGTTGATTTCCTAAAGAGCTAAAGAATTTCCATTTTTTTCATTCATTCCTATAACATCAAGCAGTAATTATTTCACAGGTTGGAAATGGTGGGGTGGGGGAAAAAGGAAGAGATTGCATTTATCAGCACCTACTATGAGCCAGGCACTGCCAAGTGCTTTACAAATATTAAAAAATTACATAGACACCAGAAGTTCTTACTCCGTATTTACTGTCACTAGTCTCTCTGTCCACTTTGTAGATTTGGAAGGTTCTAAATGAAATCTGTGTCTTTACTTCATATTTTTACATTGTTGCTGTTGGGAAGGGGAGAATTTTTCTCGCAAGGTTTTCTCTAAAAGATTAATAATTACTTCCAATGATTTACCGTCTTATTGTAAACAGTTGGTTAGTCAAAATGCTTGACACTGAATCATCAATAAGATTTGTCATTCTTGGACATGGTGAGACTGGTTTGTTTCAACATATTAAACTATGTCAAAATTAAGACAATTTAATACTGCTTTTTTGTTCCTGGCCTTTGTGTTCCATAAGAGCACATACATTGCAGAGTATCGTGTTTAATTTCTTAAAGAATGCCACAAGAAATCTTAAAGAGACTTACTACAAAAGTGAAATACATGAGAAATACTATTTTCATCATTTCATGGATGCTTGATTTTGGCTAAGGATTCATTCTGAGCTGGCATGTTAGAATTGCCTAAAAAAAAAATCTAAAGAAAATATATATTTTTTTGTCATTCCCGGGATGTTTTCCGTGCCTTTCAGAGGTCATAGAATTAACATTATTCAAGCGTGGAAGGGGACCTTGGAGATGTAGTTCAGTTTCCCCTTTTGACTCAATGAAGAAATGGTGGCCCAGAGAGGTTGAATAGCTTACTGAAATCACATAGCTAGTAAATGACAGCCAGGCCTAGGAACCAGGTCTTCTCTGACTCCTGGTTCAATAGTCTTTCTCTTCTGTCATGCACCTTCATATTCTATACAAATTAGTCAGGAACTTCCTGGAAAAAAAAAAAGTTCACATTGATGACACTTGGCCATTTCAGAAGTACAAAGAGGCATCTGGCTATTGAAGTGGATAGAGAAGTAGGTCTGAAGTTCAAGTCCAGCCTCAGACAATTCTTAGCTGAGTGAAGTCACTTAACCTCTATCATCCTCAGTTTCCTCAATTATAAAATGGGAATAATAACAACACCTATTTCCCAGCACTGTTACGAGGGTCAGATGAGATAATACTGGTGAGCATTTAACACAGTTCCTGGTATATTTGTTGTTCAGTCATTTCAGTTGTGTCTGACTCTTCATGACCCCATTTGGAGTTTTCTTGGCAGAGATACTGGAGTGGTTTGCAATTTCCTTTGCCAGCTCATTTTACAGATAAGGAACTGAGGCAAACAGGGTTAAGTGACTTGCCCAGGGTCACACAGCTAAGAAATATCTAAACTAAGTTGGGAAGATGAGTCTTTCTGGCTCCAGACCTGGCTTTCCTTCCACTGTGCCACCTAGCTGCCTTTGGTATATAGTAGTATATAATAGGTATATAGTAGGCACTTAATAATTTTAAGAACATTTATTATATAATAAGCACTTAATAAATGTTCATCTCTTCTTCCCTCCCTTCCTCCTTTCCTTCTCCACAACCATAGTAGCAGTTTGTATGCACAGTAAAGATGACTTTCATTTATTTATTGTGTTTCCTGTATTTTCAAATATATTAAACTTGCACAGGTATCTGCCACATATGTATGTTAACTTTAAAAATCTTTCATGAGCAAAAGATCATTGCATTATAGATAGAACATGTATACAGTATTGCTGTAAAGGGGCCCAAGAATTATTGTCACCGTCGTCATTGTGAGTGTGAGAGTGTGTGTGTGTGTGTGTGTATTTTTTCCCCATGTACTGAGCTTCTAATACCAAGGGGAAGTCTGGCAATGAGGGAAAGTTTGAGCATGGTAGAGATATGAATAGTATGTCAACATTTAGGAAAGGGTAATAGGGAAGAAATTGGATTTAGACCATTACTTTACATAAGATAAGCTCCAAATGCATATTTGACCTAGTTATAAAGGTTATATTATAAACATATTAGAGAAACATGGAAAAATTACCTATTAGATACATGAATAGAGTAAAAGTTTATGACTAGTAAGGAAATAAAAAAGATGTTCCAGAGGTCCAGGTTCTGGATTTGCTGCATTGGTTCTCCTTATCAGAGGTCCTCAATTCAACCTTTTTCTAGCCAGAAATTGATTGTGGGTCCAATTCTACTACTTCTATTACTACTACTAATAGGTTGCATTTCTATAGCACTTTACATATCTAATTCAAACCTCATGACAACCCAGTGAAATAAATGCTATTACTCCCATTTTACAGAGGAAAAAAACTAAGGCTAAGAAAGATGAAGTGACGTGTCCAGACTCACACAGATTTTTATTGTCTGAGATGGGATTTGAACTCAGATCTTTCTTGAGTCCACGTTTAATGTTATCACCCACTCTATCATTTGGCTTCCTCAAATACTACTAATTTGTACAACCTTGACAAAATTACCTACCTCCTCTGGGCCTACTCTCTCTGATAAAAACTGAAAAGTAGAAATAGTGCATGGAGTCAAATAGCTCACATTTTAATGGAGGAGACAATACAGACAGGATTGTTCCTATAGATGAATGGAAATCTCAGGTGGTCTTTAGGGCACAGTTACAAGCCGGATGATAAATGTCAAATGGTGGCCAATACTTCTTTTTCTCTCAGGCTTTCTATATCAGAAGTTCAGAACACCTTAGCTACGCATTATTATCAAAACCTTCCCAAATGTTGCTACACTCAGAGACTGAATGCTGAAGTCCTTTTTTAAAGAGGTGGCTTCTTGTCTCCAAGCGTGCCATAATTTCACTATCCTTCCCAGGGCTGATTCTTAGGTATGTGAATATGTTACTGAAAGTTGTCAGGGAATCTTCTTTTTTAGAGGTTCTTATAAATAGAAATAGACCCAATTCAATGAATGCTTGTCGGCTATCTACTATGTGCACTAAGCATCTAAAGAAAAATCTGCTACTACTGTTGGCTCACTGAGATTTAACTAAGGTGCCCTCTAATGGGGTTAAATATATATGTTATCAGACAAATGTAGTTACTGAAAATGAGATGTCTGCTCAAGGGGCTATGAGAAATTTAGCTGCAGGGAAGATCCCTTGGAAAAGAGAGGGCCTGGCAAAGGCATCATTGAGAATTTGGCAGCTGACTTGGGTCTTGAAAGAAGGTAAGAATTCATTGGCTGGGGATCAGTGTTAGAAAATGGTGTGTGTGGGTGGGGGAGGTAAATGGGAAACAGCATGGATTTGGAGATAACAGAGGAATGAGAATAAAGGCTACAGAGAGGAGTTCCTCTCTGTTGTATGCTGCAACATAGAGTATGTAAAGGGAAATAGTGTGAGCTAGGTCTGGTCAGATTATTTGGTGCTTGTATATAGAGGCTTTTGTAACAAGATAAGGGATTGATTCTTTCTTCCCTGGGCATTGGGAAACACTGGGGGTAGTTAGAGGTGTGCTGGGATCACATTGGTACAGTAGAAAGATTATGTGAGCCACAATGTGAAAAGAGGTAGCCTGGTTGCAGAAGATCAGTTAGGAAGCATTTATAATTAGTACTGCAGGTGAGAGATAATGAGGGCTTGAAACAGAGCGATTGCAGTGAATGGTTAATGGTTAAGGGCAGTTAAGCATGGAGGCTAAAGAAGTGCGGAGTGAGTATGAAGGGGCTTTTGAATTTTCTTCCATTCCCATCTGAGAAACTCCACCCTCACCCCTTGCAGCCCCACCACCTTGCTAGAGTTTTAAGATGAGAAGAATCAGTTCATTCCCAACAGCTGGTGTTTTTGCCAGAGTGATGGAGATTTCTCACATCACTTCTAAAGCTTTGCCTTTATAGACAGTCTCAGATTTCACCAGTACCAGCTCTGTCAATGACTTGATCCACATTTTAATTTCTCACTAAATTTGGTGGGTTTAGATGATTTTCCTCTGTGAGAGTAAAAGACCTTTGAGTTTTTCTGAGTGAAGAGGCTCCATAAATAAAAGTTGAATGTGATAGTAGCATTCCCACATCATTGCAACCTTCCATGTCTAGTGTTGCGTTCCCTAATATTATTAACGGGCATTGATTGTTGTAAGTTATTCTAGGTCACTCATTGAATTGAGAGTTTCACAAAAATTATGGTAATTTTTGGTAATGGACACTGAACAGTAAGTATCAAAATGAGTGAAATTTCATCGATTATTTTAATCATCTCCAGATCCTGCCTTGTTACTACCAATTTCATTTCTTACAAATAAATTAACATTTAGGGTAATAGGATCATAAGATCACAGATACAGCTCTGGAAGGAACCTCTGAGGTTTTCTAGGCCAACACTCATTTGAAAGCTGAAGAACCTGATGACTAGATTCCTTAGTGATAAGTATCAGAGGCAGGATTTGAATCCAGGTTTTTTAATTCCAGAACCAGTCCTCTTTCCCTTGAATGACACTGCCTCTCACATTATAGTATGTTGAATAGAAGGCTGGCGATCCAGAGATATGAAGAAAGGGATTCAACTCTGGCCTTCAACATGTACTGCCTTTGTGACCCTGTATAAATCACTTAACCTCTCTAAAGCTAGAGAGTTTCTAATTGCAAAGAAGGTGTAAGGCTGTATTGAAAGATGGAGTTGACACATCAAGAACTCCTTATATCACTGACTTCAGAGGTCTAGACCACAAAAAAAAGGTTTATAATTAATAATCCAAAGTAGATTACACTTTTCTCCAATTTTCACAGCTTTTGATGTGTTGGAATTAATTCCTACTTATTTAGGGGGAGATGTAGTTAGTTTATGCCAAAATTAATAAGTGCCAGGAAGTGATGGTCTAATTTTATTAAGGTGAAGAATAGACAGTAATAAATCTAACTGAAATGGGTTGTTTGCAGGAAAAAATCCTCAAATAAGAAAAAAATCCATCTGTTTATGTTAATTTTTGACAGCCAAATTTACAGTATATCAGTCAGTCTCTTTTAAAGAGAAAAATATGTTTTAGTTAAAAATCATACCTAATACAGAGTATTGTAGCAATGGTATTCAAAGTTTTTGTAGGAAACGTAATCATGCTTGCAATAAAGTGTGTTTCTGCATGGTACAATATGAGTGAGTGAGTGAGTTTTTCCACTGACTTTTAAAAGAACATTCAAAATGTAGCACACTATGCAGTGATAACATTAAATGTATTCTGTCATATTTAGAACATGTTTCTGATGAGTTAATAACTTATTTTATATGAGAAAAAATTAATGTATGATTATAGCCATTCCCTTTTAAAAATGCTAACTATTTAAGGACATTATATTTTTATAACAGACACTTTCTTAAGACACAGTTGCTCAAATGTCAGAATAACGGAGGTTTTTTTTTTCTTTTTGCCTGCTTCTAGTACAAAAGAAGAGAAAGATTGCGGTCGTGCAGCCAGAAAAACAGTAAGTACCCCCCACCCCACCCCACAAAACTACACTATCGATATTTCTTCCTATGATGGATGTTTTAAGAAGCAATTGAACTGAAGTTGCTAGAGAGCTAGTAAAATGACCAGTCTAGTACCACATCTTTTCCTTCATTTATTTGATACCTGCTAATTAACTTGCTAGTGAAAAACATTCTGCTAGGGCTAGGCTCTTCAGGATCTAGAATATTTTAAACAAAAAACCAGGCCCTGTGCATGTGGAATGATAGGATCCCAGAGTTGTTAGGGACCTCATTAGATACCTTCTGTATCACACCTTTGAGCTCCCAGTTCTTATTACATTGAATAGTTTAACCATGTGACACCACTCTTGTATGTGTGAAGTGGATTTTCTTTGGGACCCAAGTGTTAAGATTTCCATTTTACCCTGTTACATTTCATCTTGTTCACCTGCTGGGATCTTTCGTGGATCCTGACTTTGTTAGCCAGTATGTTAGCTAGCCTTCCTAGGTTTGTGATATCTGTAATTCTGATAAACATGTTGTCAATTGAGCCCTAGAATTGAGCAAGAAGAGTTGCTATGGGGAAACTGTAGACGTCTTTTACTGATCCTACCCCAGGCTTCCCATGAAGGCAAAGGACTGTATTTTAAATACCAGCCTTTTACTGGTGTTACTCTGTGGCAGCATCACATGGCATTCCCTTGCCTTAGAAGAACTAAAAATGAGTATCACATAAGGTAGGCAGGAGGCCTGTGATAAATATATGCAAGCTACACCCAATATAGAGCTAGTGACGAACTCTGAAGAGATGCATGTTAGGAAGAAGATGAGCTGGTCATGTGGCAGGAGCAGAGGATGACAGGTGGACAGTCAGAATGCTCCAGGGGTACCCAGGAGGAAGGCCCTTAGCTTTTGGGTGGATCCCCTATGAAGTTTTGGGATGAAATGGACACATTTGACAGTATGCAGGAGCTCACATTCAAATTATGGGAGATAATGCATACATCCAGGAGGGTTTGGCTGCTGAGGAGGACAACCAGGTAGTGCAGTAGATAGTCAGGAAGACCTGAGTTCAAATCCAGCCTCAGACACTTAATAGCTGTATGACTCTGGTCAAGTCACTTAACTTCTGTCTGCCTGAGTTTCCTCATCTGCAAAATAGGGGTAATAATAACATCTATTCCTTAGGATTGTTGTGAAGATTAAATGAGATAATATTTTCACGGTGCCTAGCCTGTAGTAAATGCTATATAAATGTTAGCTATTATTGTTTAAATTGCAGCAGTAGGACAAATGACAAATCTGAAGAGTCGTTAGGGTTACAGTGGCAAATCAGATGTCAGTAACCTGGAGTCTGGAGGACACAGCAGCAGGACAAATAGTAAGAGTTGTTGGATCTTTGGGAGCTATGGCAGAGCAGATGCTAATGCTCATTCATTCAGTTCACCACTTTTCAATTTAAAGCCCTTTTAGTAGGAGAGACGTTGTGGTTGAGAGCCAGCCTCAGAGCCAAGAAGATGAGGTAGTCGTATCTTGCCAGTTGATGACTATGTGACCCTGGGCTAGTCTTCCAGCCTCTCCATGCCTGAGATAATTCTGTAAAACTATGAATTATAAAGAAGGTGCCAGCTTTCAGTGGTAGGAGAAATTCCCTTACCTGGGAGTTGTTCCCCATGTCAATGAAATCACAAATCCAATTCTTATCCCTATTCCTTAATTAGACTTCTAAAACTCCAGGTAGATACAATTTCTTAAAAAACTAGGCCTTGTTAGATAACCCTTCATCCATCTCCAAGATGCTGTTAATTCCTCCTTTTAGTCATGGTCCAGAAATCCAAATCCATTTATCAGGTACCATTTTCCAAATCCGCCTTTCTCTGCTAAAGTCTTTGCCAACAGTGATTGGGAGGGAAAATCTTATCCTCTTTCCTTAAGGTCTTTGGTTTCTTTCCTAAAATTCATAATCTAGAATTTTTCTAGGGTCTGGCATTATCATGAATCATTCAAAATGGGTAGTTGTCAGTAAGTCTGATGATGCTTGGAAAGTTCCTGGTCCCTTCCTGAATACATGCCCTGAGAAGACAATGGAGCTCCTTCCTGTTGGAGCAAATCGACAGAGTTCTCTTCATACGTAACTCATCTCTTCTTCCTGCGACCTTTACTGGATGATATGCACTTGGACCTGTTCCACATCATTATTCTTTGGAAGATAAGCAGCTCCTTCCTTCTGAAGAGCATCTAGTTCCCTGCTCTTTCAGAGAGACCTATCTTTTATTTCTCTCCACATACTCAGTGTTCTTCCTTCTTCCTATCTTTCTTTCTCTGACCTCCTGAAGGAGTTCAGAATTTCCTCTTGCCTTTTGAATTTTTTTTTTGGTTCGTTTGTTTCCACACTAGAAGCTCATTTTCATCCTTTACAGGATCACCTGGAGCACAAAGGAGCATCCTTTAAGCCCTTTTCAATTTCCATTATAGAAGGGAGACAAGCCTTCAATTTGAGCATTGGTAACAGTTACTTGACCATGACAGAAAGACCAACATCTGTCTCACGGTCTCAGCATCATTACAGTATTGTCCTTGCTTTCTGTACTTCATATAATCAAGCTTCTCGGTCTTTGTTTTGTTCAAAAAGCTTACAATCTGGTAACTTTTAAAGTCAGCCACCAAAGTGGCTGGATGACCAAGGATGGACGACCAGTAGCACCTCCATACCTCTTACTTGCTAAGTGACTCTCTGAATACTGAAAAATTAATCCTGAATATTTTTAAATATAATAGCAATTTCAAACTCTGAGCACAAGGACTGTGATTTCTGAACTACACATCCCCAATCCCAGCACGATGCCTTGCACATAGTAGTTGTTGAACATCTGTTGAGTTGAATTTCTTGAAATAGACAGTTGAAATCAAGCCCTGCCATGTTCCTCTAATAATTTAAGGTTTTAGTTTTCCCAGAACTCAATTAAATGAATATGAAATGCCTCATGTGTGTATAATAATGTAGATGCAGAGATAGGTACAAAGTTTAGGTAAGACATGGTTCCTGTCCTCATGGGTCTTACAGTACAGTAGAGGCCTGTGAGATACAGCTGTGGTTCAAAGTACTATATAATAAATGCATTAGAGAGTTTTGCATTAGAGAGCTGGAACAAAGTATTTTATGGGATCTGCTGGGGGAAAAGGTCAAAACAATAGAAACAGTATGCTCTGCATTATGGGCTTACTGAGAGAGGCCAAAAATGCATTTCTTCACTCACCAGGTCACATTTCAAATCAGGTTTCGAAGTTTCTTTTCCTCTCATTTTTTCATTTCTTTTTCCAAGTAAAATGTCATGTATTTTTAAAACATCAGTTCTGTGCAACATAGCAGTTCTGAAAGAAAAAGTATAGCAGAGATGATTTGCAACAGTTGGTTCGAATGGAGTAAATTTGGCCTCTAGTTTTTGGTATCAGAATTCTTTTTATTATTAATGGGGTGGCATGACAAGCAGTATGACATGGCAGACAAAGGACTGGCCTTTAAGTTAAGAGAATCTGGGTCCAAGGTTTGCCTCTGAAACATTCTAGCTGGGTGACCTGGGTAAGTCATGGTATCTGTTAGTGCCCTGGCCAACTCTAAGGCTCTAGGTTACATGTACACTGCCAGTATTTATCTGTGGAGGGACCTTCCACACCAGCCGGACCTTCCACACCAGCCAGATCTCCCACATTGATGAAATGACAATTAAGGTCCAAAAAAAGGGAGGCAAGTTATGCACGTGCTTTGAAAAATATTTCAACCAATCAATATTTATTAAGTGCCTACTTTGCACCAGGCACTTTGAGAAGTTCTGGGGATACAAAAATAGGTGAAAGACAGCCCCTGCCCTCAAAGAGCTTACAATCTAATTAATGGTGGGAATGTTTGTTTACCTCCATCTTAAGCTACTAAAGCTTGAAACTGCAGTAAGAGTTTGGGACACCCTGTATAGGCAAAGTATTCTGTTGCTATTACATGTTTTATTTCCCTCAACTATTTTTGTTGGAGGTAATTGTTAGAAGAATATAAATGGAATGAGAGAGATGCCTGGCCTTGATGGCCCTTTTTTCTTGATAATCATTGAGATATTTGGGTAAAGGGTGAAGGGACTATTCCCTGTGCTAGCAAAATAATCCGTAGGAGTTTCTAATAAGCCATTGAACAATTATAATTGAAGTGTGTGAAACATGATCATATACCCAATCTGTGTCTTTATGTCCCAATTTTAAAGCAGTTTCATAACATTATGTTTCATAATAGGTTTTACCGTATTATTGATTAGTTATTTTTTACTAAGCCCTATAAAACAGATTAGTTTTGCTGTTCCCATTTTATTTTTCAGGGAATTGACGTGAAGAGATGTTAAATAGTTTTCCCACATTTAGGGCTCAATGTTTCTGCAAAGGTAGTAAAGAAAAAAATTACCCAGAGAGATGATTTGAAAATACTCAGTTTAATGTAATCATATACTGCCATTTATTTTACTTAAGAGCATGAATAACCTTTAACCAAAAAACACCACCAACCAAACATCCCCCAAGTCTTCATCTTCCCTGTAGGGAAGTAGTTCTTAAGGATACTTGACCAAACCACAAGGTTCTTCCAAGTGTTCTACAAGTGTGGCTTTTTTTTTTTTTAACTTGACCTTTGATTTAATTGGTATGGGAAACTCCCAATTAGGAAACTTCCTCTATCACTTCAGATTCTATTCTTCAGTTTATAGTCTTAGAATGGTCTCTTGAGTTCTCAGAAGTCACACGACCAGTCTCTGTATTGGAGAAGCTAGGCCTGAATCCTGGGTTATTGCAGTAGCCTGATGTTGGGTCTGCCTTCTTCATGTTTCCCCCCCCACTCCAATTCATCTTTCGTTCAGCCACAAAAATGATTTTCCTTAAGCGCAGGTCCAACCCCTTCCCCCCCAACTCAGTTACCCAGTGGTTCCCTATTGCCTGTGGGAGCAAATACTAAATACTCTGTTTGGCACTCAAAGCCCTTGATAACCTAGCCCTCTCCTACCTTTCTGGTCATGTTGTACCTTATTCCCCAACCTGTACTCTTAGATTCAGTCACTCTGGCCTTCTGGCTACTGTACAAACAAAGACATTCCCTTTCTTAGCTTTGAGCATTCTCTCTGGTTGTCCCCCATGCCTGGAATCCTCCTCAGCTTCCACCTACTGATCTCCCTGGCTCCCTTATTTAAATCCCATCTAAAATCCCACCTTCTACTGGAAGCCTTCCCAACCCTTCTTAACTCAAATGCTTTTTCCTTTTATTTTACTTACTATTTATCCTGTATATAGTTGGCTTTGTATATATTTGTTTGCATGCTGTCTCCCTCTTTAGATTGTAAACACCTTGAAGACAGGGACTGTCTTTTGTCTTTTAAGTGCTTCCCAGCACTTAGCACAGTGCCTGGCACTCAGTAAGCACTTGATAAATGTTTACTGATTGACTGAACCCTTGTCTTCCTGATTCAGGGGCATATTCTGTCTACATCATTGTGCCCTCCACAACCGCTTTTACAATACTGATGGCTTCTATTTGGACTTGAATCAGTCAGTGTTTTACTTAATGTAAAGTAAACTTGACATAATTAGTGTTTTATCAGAAGCAACATGGCATTTCCAATTTATTGTGGTAAATCTTATGGTAGCAAACAAGCATATGGATGACAGGCCCCTTTTATTACTGCAGGATGGTTTGTGGATTAACACTGATGGTGAACAACTCCTCTAAATTTAACTTTTCAGAAATTATTACTCACCCTGCTCCAAGATGCAAACATCCCTTCTTGCTATCATAACGGTGGCCACAGGTTTCTCTCTTAAGGTTTCTCTCTTAATCTCATGCAGGAGATTAATAATCATAGTTGGCAATTATATGGCACATTTAGGGTTTACAAAATATGTGTTATCTCATATGATACTCAGGTAGATTCTACAGGTACTATTCCCATTTTACACAGGAGGAAATTGAGATTCAGGTTAAGCGACTGCTTCATGGGGATGCCACTAGTAAGGGTTGATGGCAGGATTTGAAGTTGGGTCTCTTCTGACTCCAAGGCCAGTATCCTTTCCAGGCACTAGACTTCGTCAAAACAGTATATGCAGGGAATAGGAAGGCATAATTCTCCCAATTAAGCATGAGGTCCCCAGCAAGATTTGTTTGGTTTTGTTGTGTTCTTTTCTTTATTAACAGATTGCCATCCACAGTGCCTGTTGAGAAAATACCTCATGACCTTTGTTCGTTTCCTCAGCCAGACACAACAGGTGAGTAAAGCCAGACTGGGCCTAGCTGCTGTCCTGTTCCTTGATGCCCTCCCTGGGTAACAGGTAAGAGTTTTTAGGTAGATCCTAATGTCTCACTCATCTTTACAGCTGGTTCTTTTTCTTTAGAGATTACTTGGAAATTTTTTCCCCTTGTTTCCTCTGTGGTTAAATGATGCCTTTTCCATTTTCTTTCACCTTCTGATCAGTAGCTGTATTAATTTTTGTCTACTAACACATTTTTACCAGAGAATGATAGGTTCTTTGATTATTGGATTGATTTATTTTTATTGTTCTTTCAGCTTGACTGTGTTTGAGAATTGGCATAGGTTTCATGGGTATGGAAGGTGTGGGAGATGTTTTTTCCTTGGAAAAAAATTAATTTGAGGTCTTTTTGGAAATCTTACCTTATTTTATGAAAATGTGACAATGTGCTATCCTTTGTTAATCTACAAAAATAATAGTGATGGTCGTGTATTAGGTAACATTTGGATAATATTTGGATTGAATAAGGTAACACTATTTTTTGTCCAAATAAAATATCAGCTTTGAATTCTCTGAGGTTCAGAAACTTAGAAATCTTAAAATGTGAGATCCTAAGTTTAAAAGTGGCAAGACATTGAAAGGATTATTTTATCTGAAGCTATCTTTGTATTAAAAAGCATAATTTTATGGATAGACTTACTAAAATTATTTTTCTGTGAAGGTCTTGGCAGGTTAATCCTACTGAAGAATTTTCATGTAAATGCAAAAGCTGGCTTAATAATCTTACCAGTTGTGTAGAATCCAGTCTGAAGAATGGTTTGAACAACCATGTCAGCTACTTTTTTATAGTCTATAATTGTTCTTTTACTCCCTCTTTCCTTGATGCAGGAAAATAACATTTATGCCCTTTACCTTTTGTGTCCTTTGTTGAATTCTTCAGGAGAACAAGCCTTCCTAAAATCTGTTAACGCTTCCCTTTCCAACTGGAACTCATTTGAACTGAAATATCAGTGTAATTCAGAATTTAGAGTTGATTTGAATCTCTTCAGCCAGGCTTTAGCTAATAACTTAATTTTATCTGCAAATTATAAGAGCTTGCTGGAGATAAGCAGTAAACTTACCTAATGAGCTATTACTTTTTGCTGCCATACACACAAATCAAAAAATACTGTCCTTTATAATTATCCAGAAAATAAATTTTACCCATTGGCATTCTTCCAGGGATTTACAGCTTTTAGATTTAGAATTTTTTGTTTTTATTTTAAATGCCAGCTTACAGCACAGAAAGATTAACTCACTTATCCTTGTCTTTTAATAACAACAATAATATAATTAACATTTATATAGTGCATTAAGGGATTTACAAAATGCTTTACTTATATTATCTTATTTGATCATTAGAATAACACTGAGGTAGGTTCAATTATTACCCCCATTTTTCTGATGAGTAAACTGAGGCCAAGAGTGGTTAAGTGACCAGGATCACATAAATAGTAAATGGTTGAGCTTTGCTCGGGTCCTACTGATTTTAAATTCATCTCTCTCTGCACCATGAAAATCATAACTGCGTTATAGGAGGACATTTTCTCTAAAACTTACAACTCTGTTGCTCCACAAGATTTTGACCAGAATTCATGCCGCTTGATTTTTGCCCTGTCTTCTTTAAAACTCTCTAGGAATAAACATTCCCTTTTGAGACTTGTTCTCTTTTTAACTCTGAATTCCCTATCAGTCAGGCTGACTTCTTCAGGGAGCTTTGCCAGCCCAATGAATTCACGCGGATTTCTGGTTGTTCCCTGGTGCACAAAAATTGTGATCCTCAAGTAGAAGCTGTGTTGATTTTTTTCCTTCAGGTACTGTCAATGGGAAATACTGCTGCCCTCAGCTTTTCATCAACCACCGGTGTTTCTCAGGCCCCTACCTGAACAAAGGAAGAATCGCAGAGCTACCTCAATCTGTCGGACCTGGCAAATGCGTGCTGGTTCTTAAAGAGGTATCATGTTTTCATGATTATGGGTTATTTATTTTAGTATGTTGATAAAATAATTTTGATACCATTGATGGAACTTGAGGACAAAATCCTAGGGGAATGGGATAGTAGTCCTAGTTATTGATACACACACACACACACACACAGTGTTGTCTTTCATTTTTGAAAATTAAAATTCTGTAATTTATCATCAGCGTTTACAAAAGTAGGTGCAAAGACTTATGAGTAGTTCGTGTTCTTGTAAAAATATGCACATGTGAAGACTCCTTTGGTTTGAGGATGCAGTGGTTATTTACAAAACCTGTTGCTTTTCCTAACTCTGTTGGGCACTCTGATGGTTTTAGTCCCAGAGAATCTACTCCATTCCTGATCTAGGACACCAGATTGGTCATTCCACAACTGTTTCTTGCCCTACTACACCAAGGCTCCATAACTATGCGTAATTTGGGACACAGGGAATATACTGTTGACAGACATTTTAGTTTTTATATCTATCATATCATATCACATATCCTTTCAATAGGAAGACATCTTACTCCATTGGATTCCTTTCTATTAGAAGATGACATTGCTGATAAATAACTCAGCTTAATTGTGCTTGTGTTGACTTGGGTCAGACTCAGGTCCACAATAGCAAATCCCCTAATCAGTTTCTTTACCTTTTTGGAAGGATGTAGCTATCATTGTTAAGCCAAAAAATGAACGGTTGTTCTGCTTTTAGCAGAATGCCCATAACAGATAGCCAGAGGATTGAAGTCTGCCATTACCATAACATGTTTTCATGTCAGTCTTGATAGGTTTTCTGAACTCATCTATTTCTTCCTTCTGTCCTATTATTCTATAGTATATTTTTCTGTTTCTCCCTCCATTGTTGCTCTAAGATAAGGTATTTCCTACAACTGTTTCTTTCTGTGATTCTTAGATATACTCAAATGAACATATCTTTAAATAAAATGATACTTGCTTCTCTCTACCCACCCATCCCTCAACCAGCCTTGTTACTTCCTTTCAAAGAAAAAATGACCGAGACTTATTTCAGTCATAGGACTTTTTCCACTGGGTGCCAGTGATATCCTTGAGTTTAAATGGGCTTACTTATATTAGGATGTCTAATTCACTTGGCTGTTACCTATGTTTTACGCATTTGTGTTAGATAACTGAGGCATAGGATTGGGTGTCTGAGGTATTGTGGTGTGGTGGAAAAAAAGCAATTGACTTCTGTCAGAAAGACCTGGGTTCCTATTTCAACTCTGGCACTTATAAAACTCTGTGACCCAGGATGAGGTACTTAAACCTCTGTTTGCCTCAGTTTCCTTATCTGTAAAATGAGAAGGTTTAACTTGATGACCTCTAAGGTTCCTTTCAGCTCAAAATCTATGATCCTTTTTGGATACCTTCATCTGGTCATGTCTACTGCTATTCTTTCCACACTGTAACACCTCTTCAGGTATTTAACATGGTGGCTGTATGTGGGCTCCGTGTATTTCCCTCTTCTCTTTGCCTAAAGCCTTTTGATTTGCAAGACTCCAGACAAAATGCCTTTTTTAACCAACCCTGGTCAGTCATATTTCATCCCTGGCCCTGAGATATCATCCCTACTTTTTAGGCCCCATGATTCAGAAATCCAAATCTCATTCTTGGCCACTTTTCATTTCTTTCATCAGCTTTTCACTTCAAAAATTCTGCTTTCTTTTTTGAAGTCCTTGACTTTGATTAGAAACAGTTGTGAAAACCACACAGCGTCCATTGTCTTCCTCAAGGTTCCTAATTCTCATCTTGTGGCAATTTAAGTTTTGCCCCCCCATGAATGGAGCAGAGTAGGTGATGGTCATCAGGTTTGGGATGACCAGGTTTGGGAAGCTCTTAGTTGCCTCCTAGATACATGAATTGGGAGATGACAGACCGACCTCATTGTTATTAATATCATGTTGACCAGTGGCAGCCTCAGTGTCCCCTTCTCGCCCAGGAGCCACCAACCTCCACTATTCTTGTCTTATTCCTTTAACTCTTCTTCTTGGGGTATTATGAGCTGCTTCTTCTATCTATCTCCCTTCAGTGCAAGTGTTCAGTGGTCCTCTCTTTCTCCTCTGTATCCTATTTTTCTACCTTTCAGTCTTCCAACACAGCTCTATTCCTTAGCCTCCTCAGATCCTTTTTATTCTTTGTTTCTATCTGGAATCCTTATTTCACTTTAACCTTTTGTTCTCCAGCTCATTTTACAGCTAAGGAAACAGAGGCAACAGGATTAAGTGACTTGCCCAGGGTCACACAGCTAGTAAGTGTCTTAGGTCACATTTGAACTTGGTTCCTCCTGATTCAAAGGCTGACATTCTGTCCACGGCACAGGTGTAGAGTTGGCTTAGATGATCTTCTAAAAATCTCTTCCGACTCTATGATTCCTTGTTATCCTGCCTCTTTCCAGGTGAGCTTGTTTCATGCAGAGCTACATCGATTAATGGAAATTACAGATCAACGTCTGGACTTTTCTTACAGTTGTTCTTTTGTTGTTTCCCTAAACATCAGGGTTCTCTCTTAAGCAGAGGGACAACAATGTCCCTCTCTTCATTTGTGACAAGTATTGAATAGTGAACTTTTTGTAGTTAATTTTTTTCAGGGCACAAAAAATTAAATTTTAACACATGAAGTGGGGCAGCAGCAAAATGAAACAGTTTTCCCCCCTCAAAGTAATTTATCAGGGAAGGTAAATGCAAGATGTTTATCCTGTTGTATCATGCAAGCTGGCAGGCCAAGGTTCTGCCCTGCTGAGGTGGAAAGTAGATTCCATTGCTCAGTGCTCTCCCTAACCCTTAGTTGTTCTAGGTGGGAAAGCAAATGGGATATGTGATATGATGCCTTGATTAACAATATCCATGTAGTTTGCCATGGGATCACCAACCCAGAAGAAATTAAGCTGAGCCAAAAAGATATCAGATTGTAGGCACAAGGAAGAATTTTAATAAAAATTTAAAATGAGATCCTCACTAGTTATTGCCTTCCTGAAAGTTACTGCTACTTGGTGCCCATAGGCACATCTTTGTTATGATACTGTGTGTGTGGGTGTATGTGGGTGTGTTGAAAAGGCCTGGGAAAATATGTTGAACTAATGGATTTTTCAGGGCTGTTTCTGAGTGAATTGTCTTTTCCAGTTGTTGAAATAAGATATTCAGATATTTGTCAGGTATGCTGGCCAACAGGGCAGCCTAAGGTTAAGCCTGTTCTACGCTTGGATTGTTTGACTTTTATTAAGTGATTTTTTTTTCTTTTTTAAAAAGTCAAAACTAGTTAGTTATTCCTAATCAGAAAGCTCATGATGTGATAGGTGACAGTGGCCAAATTTCAAAGCCAGGCCTTGAGCAGTTTGCTGATGATAGAACTAGTTTTCTGCTGATGTTTACAAAGCTCAAGAGGCAGGGGAGGATTGCAAGCTCTTCAGTTCCATAAGTGTAAGAAAAATATAAGTTGTGCCAAACCAATATTTATGCTAATGCTTTTTCCTTTAGCTTCAATGCCTCTGTGTATGTGTGCATGTGTGTGTGTTTAACATTTAACATTGAAAAGGTAATTGAAGAGAAGGCAGAGCATCTCTCTTTAGGCAGTGAGTGATATTAGAAATACGTGTTTAAAAATTTGCAGAGGCAGTGGGGGGACAGATGTGGAGCATTGGATTTAATATTTTTTTTTGAATGTATTGATCGGTTTGGATGATTTTTTTTCTCTTCCTCTGTAAAAGCAATTTTTTGTCATAATTGATGTCTCTTTTGGAGGGGATGGATGCAGGAGAAATCACAGTGATGTAAAAGCAAAGGACATCAGTGTATCTAGGAAATTCATAATGCTGAATGACCCTCATTTCCTCAAAATCTAAAGAAGGACAGAATATGTAGGAGTGGTCTTTGGGAAGGTAAAATCTAGAGTAAGAGAGGCGACCTGACTTAATTAAGTTATTAAATGCCTACTGTGTGTTAGTCTCTGGGCACACAGATACAAAGAATAAAACAATCTTGACTTAAAGGATTGTGTATTGTAATAGAGGAGATTGTAAGCAGGTATATAAATACATTCAGTATAAATATCAAGTGAATAGAGTAATTTGGGAAGGCTGTTTGATAAAGCTTTGATGCCAGTATAACAGAAGAATAGGAATCAGTGAAGTCAAGGATGGATTAGAACAATTGACCTTTTGAGGGAAGAAGGCTATTGCAGTAGTCCAGGTTTGAAGTGATGAGGGCCCAAATCAGGTTTATCGGAAGGGAGAAGGGGAAAATGTTTTAACAACAGGACTTGGTAAACCAAGGTTGGGATTTGTGGGGTGAATGAGAGTCAGGAGTCAAAGATGATACCTAGGTTAACAAGCCTGGTGATTGGGAAGATGGTGGTGCACTCAATAGTAATAGAGAACTTTGGAAGAGGAGAAGGTTTTGGGGGAAAGATCATGAATTCAGTTTTGGGCATAGTGAATTTAAGAGACATCCAGTTCGAGATGTTGAAAAGGCAAGTTGATAGCATAGGACTGATATACCTCAAGAGAGAGACTAGGATTGGGGATATGTAGATCTTGGAATCATCAGGAACTGAGATCATACATACATAGGGAAAAGATAAGAGGGCCTGGAAAAGAGCCTTGGATGAAACCCATTCTCAGTGGGTATGTCTTGTGACATGGATTAAGACCCAGCCAAAGAGATTGAAAAGCAGGAAGGAATCAGATAACATGGCAAGAGGACCAGGAAGGAGCAGTGTCACAAAAACCTGGAGAGGAGACACTGCCTACAAAGGGAAGAGAATCAAAAGTATCTCATACTGCTGAAGAGGTCAGCAAGGATCAAGAGTGAGAAAGCCATTCAATTTAGCTACTAAAGAGATCTTTGGTAACTTCCAGAGAGCAGTTTCATTTGAAAGAGATGAGGTTGGAAGCCAGATTGTATTATTTTTCAGAAGAGTGAGAGGAGAGGAAGCAGAGGCCCTGATTATAGATGGTTTGGATGATGAGGAACAATGATAGA